TGGCAAGAGAGAAACGGCAAGTTACCTACAAAGGATATCCCATCAGGCTAATAGTGGACCTCTCCTCGGAAACAATGTGAGTGAGGAAAGAATGGGAAAATATATTCAAAGTGTTAAGGGAAAAACAATTTCAGCCAAGAATACTGTACCCGGCAAGATGATCCTTCATATGGGAAGAGAAAAACAAGAACATTCCCAGATAAACAAAACCTGAAACAATTAACGAACACCAGACCAAACCTCCAAGAAGTTCTCAAGGGAGTGTTATACCAGGAAAGTTAAATACAGACACACAGAAATAAGAGTTCAAAAACTAAGAAAATGGCAAACTTAATCATAAGGACAAGTCTGGACTTGAATATTATATCCCAGAATTTAATCAGGAAGATCAAACCACAACAGAAGATAGATTAAGTACATGAGAATGAACTGGTGAAATAGCATTTTATGACTTGACTAAAACATTGCTGATTTTCTTCTAGGCTTTGTTTTCTGGTTTTAAAGATTTTTGTCCTGTCTTGACGTGTCGATAGATTCATGCACCTACTATTTGAACAGAATCCTAACCTGTTTTCTGGCTTTAAGTTTTAAGCAAAGTTTCTTAGCATTTCTTGGTTTATTAAAGTTAAAACTGCTTTTCTTGAAATTACCAGCTGAACTTTCTATTGAAAGTAGCTAGGTTATTTAAGAAATTTGGGTGGGGAAAGGAATGGAAAACAACAGTAGACACCAGAGATAGTGTGGGAGGAGTGTGGGAAAGTGCAGAGCATCAGAATTAGGGGTAATACACACACACACACACACACACACACACATATACACATATACATAAAACTAGAAATGGAAAATTATTGACAGTAACATGCATGATTAAGTCACTATGCAGTATATTATGGATGGGAAATCAAATGTTGTATGCTGTGACAATGCTTAGGGAATCAATGTAAATTAATTAATTAAAAATTTTTTGAGAAAAAAAAGCTCATGGAAATATGTGTAATGGAAAACTATGTATGAATTTCAAAAAGTTTTGGTACCAAAATAAATTTACACTTCTATTGTAAAAATAATTAAATTTAATTTACTTTTTTAAAAAAGAAAAAAATTTGGGAACCAGCAGTTAGCGTAATGGCTATGTCGCTGGATTCCCACGTAGTCGACTGCGGTTCGCGTACCGGACCCAGTGGCTTAAAACTCATGCCGGGCGCGTGTGCGTGCGTGCCCAAGATCCCGAGAGGAGAATGGAGGAGAAGGGATTGTGGCGTGACCATCCCCCCTGGGGGGTGATTTCTCGCTTTCTGTCTCTATGTCTCTCTCTGTCTGTCTGGCAAGCGCACGCGCCCTATAGCGAAAATCTCTCCAAAAAAAAGAAAAAGAAAAAAAGTTAAAAACAAAAAAGAAAATCAATAACACCTCCTTCTTTCTTAACCAGATCACCCCATCAGACACATTCTTGTCCAACAGGCTACAGGGTATTAGAAAATTAGGGCAAGCAGATCTTTGAGGATCATTGGGTGTCCTTCCTTATTACACATGAGCATAACGCCCCATGGCCGGGGACTCAGTCACAGCACAGCAGGGAGATGGCACAACCTTGCCCCTGACTTCCCACCTGGCTTTCTGTCTGCTGCCCAGAGTTTCTCCCTGCCATGACAATGACATGAGCATGTTGAATCACATGGGAGGCCCACGGAAAATAAGGTCCAGGGCTCTCCGAAAGTGAGAACTGTCCTCAGCAGGTGCAGATCCAACACATTGGAAGTACCTGGATTGCAGTAGATCCTGAGCCAACATTGAAAGAGTAAATGAATAAACACCCACTGGGACGTCATCTCCTTGGAAAGTCCTCCCCAAACCTCTTTGAAGGGGCCTCTCCTGTTGTTCTCTAGTAGGTCTGCTGAGATTTTGAGGAGGATATGAATGCTACTTTTGTATACTTTTAATTCTTTTTTTTTTTTTTCACTTTTCAATGAGTGGGGTCATGGCACAATCTCTTCTTTTTTTTTTTTTTTTTACATTTTTTTAATACTTTCAATCACATTATTTAGCTTACAAAGTGATCATTTCAATATATGAACATTTCTCCCTGGTCAGGTTGATCAAAATATAACAACACTACCTCCCTGTCTCAACAATGCTGTCTTTGTATCCCTCCTCCAAATGTTCTTCTGTATGGCCCCACTCCTCCATACACACCACATCTGGCATTCACATCCACCTCTTGAGTTTGTACATCCTTTAGCCTGTCGGTTTCAGTTATAGAGTGTGGACATTTGGTATATATTAAGTGGGGACATACAGAGTCTCTCCATAGCCTGGCTTGCTTCACACAGTAAATCTTCCATATTTTTCCACTTTCTGTCAAAAGGCAGGGTTTTGTTGTTCTTAATGGCTGAATAGTATTCCATAGAGTATACGTGCCAGTTTTTCAATCCATTCAGCTGTATGGGGGCATTTGTTTTGGTTCCATGTCTTAGCAACCGTGAATAGTGCCACAATAAACATTGATGTGCAAGCACTTTTCCAATGAGAAATTCTTCTGTCCTTTGGGTAGATGCCAAGAAATGAGATTGCTGGATCATATGGCAGTTCTATTTGTAGATTTTTGAGGAATCTCCAAATTGTTCTCCACAGTGGT